CTTCACATTGATAATACCTTGAGCTGGCGCCCGCAGGTTACCAGTGTCTGTAAGAGGGTTACTGGGTCGTTGCGGGCTCTGTATCGCCTCAAAAACTTTCTTCCATCCTTCGTGAAGGCAACGCTTGTCCAGTCGTTAATTTTCCCTATTATTGATTATGGTGATGTCTGTTATTACGACCTGAATGCAGATCTCCTCAACAAACTAGACAGACTTCTGAATAACTGCATTCGATTCGTGTTCAATCTTCGTAAATATGATCATGTTTCTGCACAGCGCTTGCAATTAAAGTGGTTACCCATACGCCAACGTAGGGAGCAAAGGGCTTTAACTACTTTATTCTCTCTTCTTGAATCCCCTTTTTCTCCTAACTATCTATCCACCTATTTTCAATACACCAGTGCAAACCACAGTAAATATCTTCGTTCTTCCAACAATCGCCATCTACAGTGTGTCAGTCATCGCACTGATTTCCTTCATTCTTCTTTCTTCATACAATCTGTTATTCTGTGGAATGCACTACCCACGGATATCAGGACGGCGTCCAGTCGCTTAGCTTTTAAGATTAAAGTTCGGGAGCATCTTCTTCAACAATTGGTAGATTCATCTCAAACCTAAACCTCTTTTAATTTAATATTTTGTATTATATTTTATAATGTACATATATATTTCTATATATATATTCATTATTTTTTATTTATATATTTACTTTAATATTGTATACATAATTATTGTTATATGTAAGTATGTATAAGTTTTCAAATATACCTATATGTTTAGTGTTTATTGAATATTCTGATTGTGAGATTTGTTATTTATTACACTGGTACATTGCCTATTTATAAAGGTTTAAATCACCTGCTACTTTCATCTCTGCACTGCTTAAAGGTTGACTGGGAGACAATGCCCAAGGCATTAAGTCCACCTGTACACACTCGTTGTATAAAGTTGATATAAATAAATAAAATAAATTTTATATTTAGGCACTAAATAATAAACAAAAAATCGTTTGTTCTAGCATTTTAAAATTTACACCAGCGTGGGGGTGAAATAGGGGTTGCATGTGGGTGTTCGTCATTTTTGGAGATAAAACCATGTAACTTGGTACATAGGTCTCTTAGGATGTGCAAAGTTTTTATATAAGTAGATACCAAAGGAATTCCAGAAATTGTAACTTTTGTTTTGTATCAATAAAAAAATAGACTTTTGAAGTTACGAATACTTATTCATCGCCGCCGCCTGCCGTCAGTCATCGGTCATCGTCGCGCACATTCACCGAAGTGGGGCGAGCGCGGGGGGCGGTCGTGTGGTGGCTACCCCGCCACACGACCGCCTCCCGGTCTATTAACTCTGAAACACGTAAAGAAGTTGTTTAAGAATAATAATTCTGTTATGTTCTCTTCTCTCATTCTTATCATTTTGAATTTATAAATTCCTTGGCTATTTATTTTGGGATAAAACTACCAAGCAAGTCATCATCATCTACTTGAGATAGACTATTCAAAGTTATAAATACTAACAAACCATAACATCTCCTCATCACCTTTTATACCCGAACGGGTTTTCCCCACATTCGATGATTTTCCCCCCTTAAAAAAATTAATGTGTTAAACTCGGAGTAGCGGAATATCATTCTGGATTAATGACCCTTGTTTCTTTTCATCTGATTCGTAATGATAACCTATATGTAAAGGATATGGTCTCCATTACTCAGTAATTTGTATGATATATTATTGGACTATACATACAAATTACTGAGTAATGGAGACACAGTATAATTGCAGACTGCACGGTTGGTGCGGTGGCTGGGTAACCGGCTGCCGAGCAACGTGTCGCGGGTTCGATTCCCGCACGGAACAACACTTTGTGTGATCCACAAATTGTGGTTTCGGGTCTGGGTGTGATGTGTATGTGAACTTGTATGTTTGTAAACGCACCCACGACACAGGAGAAAATCCTAGTGTGGGGCAACGTTTGTAAAAAAAAAAAAAAATTCCATACCATATGTATGTAGTATTTCTTCTTATTATTTGTAACACAGTGCGCCGCAGCAAGTGCGCAGTCATTTGTTATCATAAATGCTATACACTCCTTATTAGATCCGTGCTCACGTCTTATGCTTGCAAACAGCACTATGACGAAAGAATATTCGCCTTCCTCAACATCGGTCCCTTTGTAATTCCTGACCTGATCAGCACTAGTTACATGTCAGTAAACTGAATGCTATCAGCAACATCAACATACCGCCTTACGTTGTGCGCTCGTTAATTTAAGTAAAAAAAATCGCCTCCTAATCATATATGCATGATTAATTGCCGTTTTAACGACATTTGTTTCTTTTTGCTTTCAATGATGTGTTTACCGTGTGTTCAGTAAATATATTAGGTGGGAATTATTTAAACCTAAGGAACTAAGAAATAAATGCTGGATCACTTGTATTAATGTTTATTGCGTTACGAGACAGATCCAGAAATTCATAGTCAGATTATAAATTGGCATTTTTTATTTCACAATTACATCACGCTCCCTTCCCGACATATTGGAGTATACGTGATTGACACTGGCATCATATTATTGACAGTCTGAGGTATTTTTCTTATTAGCATTTTAGCATTCCCACAAGTCCACAAGCAAAAGTGTATAATCTTGTAGAATTGCACAAAACTACTACACCAACATCTAGCTGGCGACGTCAAGTTTTGCCGGAGAATCTTAACACCGCCATTCACGAGTCAGAGGACGCCATCTAGAGAAGATGTGGGCAAACTAAGGCCTATAAGGTATGTGTACTAACTTCTTGTTTTAAGTTATTTGTATTGTTTTTTTTTTGGAAACCCGTACTTCAAACTTGGTCCCAAGTGATCATCAGGTCAGGATATAATGATGGAGTCTTGGAAAGTCGAAGATGAACTTCAAATTGGTAATGTCATATTCATATTCATATGTGAAATAATAATCTTTATTTCGACTGTTGCCATCATGCTATCTGGCTTAAGCAATATGCTATAGATGTGCCCAATATAAAACAAAACTATAAACGTTCCATCGCATTGCTTAGTTCGAAACGATCCAAGTTTAATATTTTTCTACATAAACTGTAGGTAATTAAAATATCGCTCTTTCAGTTTCACATTTATTCTTTATTTATTGAAACATACAACAGTGGATGAAATACAGAAGTTGTCCATGAGTCGTTAGACTACAGACATAGAAGATAGAAGAAACCATCAGATTTGTTTACTTTGGATTCCATTACTTGTTGAAATATTTTCCGATCCCTTTTCTTATCACAATTATCTCGTTAAGTATAATTTCATAAAATTTTACTTTAAGCATTCATCACCCACCAGATTTCACCCGGTGAATGTCCGCACTATAGTGCCCTCCTCGCAAATTTCCTAAAATACATTTTTTTACAAAAAGTTTGTGCAAAATATCAACAAAATAATAATGATGACATGAATGTCAACGTTTATCATTAAAAATCAGTGCTTCGCTCAGTCATTGTACATTGTATATGTATATTATAGATACATATGTACAAGTCTGTCTCACATACCGTACTGTACATTTTATATAACTATACTTTTTATTTATCCTTTCGCCAATACATCAGACCTAATTTCCGTATGAAGAACGGCAGATTTTAAATTTAAATAAAAATTAAGTAAATTAAAGAACTAGTTTAATAATAAGAAACACTTGATAATCCGCTGATTCAATGGAATTGGAATGTTTGAGCAAAAGCACATTAATTTGATCAGTCGTCAATACTGAGAGAATCAACAGATTACTCAAGCTTTTCTTAAAAAGAACAATCATTATCTAACTTTTGTTTTTTTATTTTATTTTCTTACCTATCCTTACGTTGATATTATTATTCAGTGTCACTGCTACAATGACACTTTTTATATGAGAGTAATTTAATTTTTTGAGCTCGATACTGATTTGTTACAAGTAGTTTTAGACCGTGTTCTACAACGGACACTGACCAAAATATAAATTCTGAGAGTTTCTAGAAGTAGGAGTTTCGATAAATATGGAGTAACACTTATTTTAGGGTTTGGTAGATGTTATTGCCCTCGTAATTCCATCATCCACAATACAATTCTTTGAAAGTAGTCTTAATTTCATGTATGCGTATGTGAAATCCTTATCCTTACTAATATTATAAATCGGAAAGTGAGTTTGTTTGTTTGTTCCGCTTTCACGCCATAACTACTAAACCGATTGCTTTGAATTCTTGAAGATGTATAGTGAGAAGTCCGGATTAAATAATAGGGTACTTTTTATGCCGGAAATATTTGATATTCCCAAAGGAAAACAAAAATATTCGTATAGATGGCGCTGTGTGTATTGGTATATGTCACATTGGCTTTTTATCCTTTTGTGACGCGAGCGAAGCCGCAAGTAAAAGCTAGTACTTCATAAGTTGTGTTGCTCTTCTCAAAATTTCGATGATAAGGTACACTTGCTTATTTCAAACACGAAAGGATGGACCTATTGTGCAATTGTCTCTGAGCAGTATGAGTCTCAGAATGTGGCACAAAATTGTCATGGCCATTTCAAGTATGTTTGAGAATCGACTGACATTCGACGTTTGAACATTTTTGTGCATGCTCAACAGCACCTTTTAGCATGCTATTTTAGTGTATTAGTAACGGTATTCTTACTTTGTCAGAACAACGCTGGACAATAACATTAAGAACAAATAAATAGCAAAAGTTAATTCAAGACATTAACACTGACATTCGACAAAAATATTTTAAAGCTGTTAACGCCATACTCCGTTCCTACTTACTCGTCCAATTTATATGGCATTTGTGTATACACTGGACTCAAACCTCGGATGTTTAATAAAGTCAATAACATCCCTCATACCCTTTCACTTAAATCTAACATTTGGCATACAATGTAAGACCAATTTTATCACTACTTATTTACTAACACAGCGGAAACAAAGTTTATTTATTTTGGTGTAAAAACAGTTCGTTGTTTGTATAAATTTGCTGTTAATACAGCATAGTGAATATTCCCTTATTTAATGGTGGCGTTTTGTCACTATCTCGCCTGTAGTGCGATTCTGTAACACCATTTCGATATCGAAGCTCGAAAGAAATATTTTGAAAGTATATCCATTTGAATTCGGTTCCATATTCTATAAACAATTAGTACGAACCATATCGAAGCAAAGTGAGACTCGAAACGTCTTATTAATTGTTTAAATAATACGGAATCGACTTCAAGTGAGTTTACTTTCGAAATAGTTCTTTCAAGCTTCAGTATTGAATAATGTTAAGCTCCTACATAGCAGTTGTATAACGTTAGAGACTGACTCAATATTTGTTATTAAACAAATTTTAATAAAAGTTGTAGTACTTGACATGTTGTGGAGTATACTTCACGATGTTGTCGTGTTACACGATGTGGTATAAAGATATACAACTGCTGTGTAGGAGCACCTTTACAGAATCGCACTGCTAGTGGTAAGCGATGATGCGACCTATTACTAATCTTCCTGCAGTTTTTATCTTGGCCTCAATTTGGAGACCCAAACTAGAATTCTTGGCTAGCTGTTCTTAACGTTATATTGTATCATTGATGGTGACCATAGTAATATAATTGCCCAAAATATCGCTATGTTAGTACCTAAGCAACGATCTACTAAACACAACACTTAAGAGATAAAATCTTATTTTATTGACGGAACACTAATTTAAGGTTTCTCAGAGTAAGATCTGTATAATCTTGAAGGCTTCGCCTTTACAAAAACGATAAACATGGAAACCAAAATAGATAAATGATAAATAGCTAACTAGGTTGGGAAACCCTGTTCTACACATCGTTTTTAAATATATCATTTGAAACGTTTAACAAAAAAAATAAACTTTACTTATAACAACAAATTAGTAACGCAACTTACATAAATGTAATACAATTTAACTAAGTTATCATATACTTAATATAATCAAATATAGATTAATATAACATAAAGTTAACGCACATGTATTAGCCTCGCTTGGAATTATACCGTGTGCTCTTACTTAACGCCATCTACAACTTGTGCATGTAACCAATCTTCAGTCAAAATGTAATGTTTATTTCAAGGACGTTGAAAAAATGGCGGCCTTTCACTTAGAAATGGTTGAAGCACCAATATGTCACTGGTTTATTTATGTGTTCTATGTGACATTCTGTAGTAGCTAGGTGCCACGGTCGATGTTTCAAATGACTGTGTCCGACTTTTTCTCAACATCCTTGTGTTTTACTTTTGTCGTATGTCAATGCGCTATATTATAATATTTTCTTTTTTCTGTTCCATTTGATTTAAATATATATTTTGGTTACTAGCACAAACAAGACTTTGGAACTAAACGATTTTTTACCCTATTGTTAGTAAGATTGCCGTAATAAGTTAGGAAGGTAATTTTTCAAAAATCGAATAAGATGTTATTGATTGGATGATTTTTGCAAAGGTTAAGGTGTTTATAGTAATTTTGTTTTGAAGAAAACAAGAGCTTGTAGACAAGAGGGACAAGTTGCTAATGGCGGAAGCAACTGCTGCCGTTGATGCGTCGAGGCAGCTGTCGACATTTCATCTTCTGTCGACTGCTGCTGTAGACGCGTCAGCGGTTGCCGCCGGCACCGTGTCGACGGCAGCAGATGTCTCTGCCGTTGGTAGGTAGGCCGCTCGTATGTTTAAATGGTTGAGTTTCTTTAGGTACATATTGGTGTGTAGATATTATTTTGAATGTATAATGTTGATCCGACGCTAGTTGACACCAGATGACAGCGTTAATGAAGAGCAGATCGCGGTAAAATCTGGAAAACATAATAAATGTGTGTTAACAACTGTTCTGTAGGCAGCACATCTACCAACTGAATTAAGATTATGATAAGCAAACAGCACGGTTTATGAAAAATTTCAGCACCATATGAATCGTAAGCACATTGTTAGTCAACCTAATTAATTTTCTACATCTTAATGATTATTTTTTATATCTTTTTTGAACATTAAGTTAAAAGTGTATAAAAATATTTGGAATGTCCGAGCCAGCCTCATGAAGTACAGAAAAATTAAACGTAAGTGTTCTTAGTATAAAGAGACAGATTCTTACTTTTTTATTTTTTTCTTCGACCTTCTTATGACGAAGGCTCGTGCAGCACCACTAGGTGAGCTATCTTGTCCACTGAAAACATTTACAATTAAATATTATTAAGTTTTGCCTTGAAGCAATATCTGGCTTAAAAATATTTCTATTCTTTATTAAAACATTAATTAAACATTTAATTAGGACTTAATAGTTTAAAAAAACTCTCAGTACTACATGGGACTCGTAACATAAATGGTGAAAAGTGGGTGTTACATTGTACGGTGGCTTTACGCGCCGTAACGTGCACCTCTGCCTATTCTGGGATAAAAAAGCGAGTGGGTGAATATGTCTGTGTATTTTTGTGTAGTGTGGATAGTGTATGTGGTTTGTGTGTGTGTGTGCGCGCGCGCGTGTGTGTGTGTGTGTGTGCGCGTACTTGTGTGCGCGTGTGTGCGAATATAAAGAAATAATATAATCGTCATTAAACCTACATGTAGCCTGCTGCATGGAGATCTTGTTGCAAGCCGCATACACCTCGATGCGGATCGACTTGAACTCTGGAATATGAAACATAATATCAGAATAAATACTTATATAGCATATCATATTTAGAATAGACTAAATGATAAAGAGAATAAAGACTATTCCCAATATAGTTTGAAAATGGTTGGTACTGGGAATTTTGTAACATAAAATGGAACATTAATAAAAGCTATTTGACAAATAAACATATCTTTACCATCAGGGTGGAGATGACCCTTTATATATTGAAGTAGCTCCAAATAAGTGGGATCTCGTATCTTCTCCATGTCTTTGCATGCCTCGGCATACAGACTGTGGTAGTTATCTGAAATTGAGACAATATTTCTGAGATTTATAATGGTAAATTATATACAGTATTGACGCTGTCACACAGATATGGTTTCGCCAAGCTCGCTTATAGAGCCTTTTTTTTTTGTTTTTGTTGATTCATCTATACCTTTTTTATGGCATAAACCGGTTAACGAGCAGACGGATCACCTGATGGTAAGCAATCGGCGTTGCCCGTAGACACCTGGAACACCAGAGGCGTTACAAGTGCGTCTCCAGCATTTTGGGGATCGTTGGGGATTCAGGGATTGGGGAGATTGGGGAAGGGGAGGATAATTGTCTCCAGTAACCTCACTCACACGACGAAACACAACACAAGTGTTGGTTCATGTCGGTTTTCTGTGAGGCCGTGGTATCACTCCGGTCGAGCCTATATCTGAGCCTATATCCGGTCGAGGTATACTCCTAAACGGATAATTAAATTGAAGTGACAGTTTGCAATATTAAAATAACAGTTATTGTTTATCTCTGGAATGGCTAGACCGATTGTGCAAGGCTTTTATTGGTAGGTAGTTGATGTAATAAGGAGTAACATAGGCTACTTTTATTTTGGGAAATTTTAAACAAAAATATATATGTTGTATAATTCATATTCTACGCGGACGAGGGCCCGCTACTTCGTTACATACAAACAGCTAGTTTTTTTTTTCTAAAATAGATTATTCAGGTTTTATTATTATTTGTTTTCACTTGGTTTTGTTTTTTTATTTCAGTACGGTCTGTTAATTGTATGTTGCGTCAGGTATGTCTTTACATTATTCTCACATGTGTGGAGGTACAATATTCGAATATGTATCAGAGCAGTGTAAAACAGACTTTTTTTAAAAGAGTAACGAATGGAGTTTCTTGCTCGTTCTTCTCCACTCGCATCGACATTTTGGAACAAGCGCCTAGCTTCACTGATGGACAGAATGACAGACTATTATTTACCTCTATTTCATATTTGTTGACGTTTCAAAAGTACCAAATTATGGTTTAATTGAAATAAATGCTTTTGAGTTTGAGTTTGAGTTTATTCAGGTGTGAATTCACTATTGAAAAATACCAAAACGCACGTAATATAGGTACTTTGCTTGAACTTGGAATCGAACCACAGGCACCTTGACAGTCGCGCCGCATAACAATAGAGTATCTATGTTTGTTTGACCCAGCCACACTCGCCACGATAGCACATTATGATAAAGTAAATCGCATAAAGGTCTATAATGATAATATAAACATAGAAATGAAATCAAGAATAATTTTAGCCACAATATTTTTTTTCTTTAATAATTATAATTTATGGCATTCATATTAAGATCACTTCAGACTCGTCAAAATATTATGACCATATTTTATGTTGACAACATAAATAAATATATTAATATCTTAAGGGTGCGGTCGGGGTTCGCACCAAATGCACCAGATAAAGGGAGCGAGGTCGCAATGCAGTAGGTCAGTGCTTACGTCACGCAGGCCCAGGATGCGCCAGCTTTATTGATCGATACAATGTTTGTGACCTTTAAGTAACTTTTAATGTACATATTTTTTTTTGTAGTGGGTAATCGAATTTTTGTGTGTTCAACATGTATTAATGTTTGTTAGTGTTATTGTATCCATCATACATAATACATCATAAATTACTGTCTAATAAATAAATAACAATATTTTTTTCTATCACTGCCAGTTGAGTTCGCCTCCAAATGCATTAGAAAAACCTTCCTTAAAATGTATTGTTGACACAATTAACCTAATTTGTCGCAGCAATGACAAGAAATAAATAATAGCAATGCAAATAGACTTACCGCGCAATTCCTTCAGGGGCAAATCATCGAATTCCGTCTTCTCCCGGGCATCCTGGCGTACCTTCGTCAGCTCCTTGATCAGCAGTTGCCTGTGACGCCTGTCTTGTTCAGGATCAAATCCATATTTGGCCAGCATACGGGGATCATATCGAGGATCATCCATCTTGAATCACTATTTATTGTTTGATAACTGAGATCAGCTTTTTAGCTGGGAGCAAGAATGCTTGTTAGTATGGACTGCCGTGCCGGCCGGTGTGCCCAATGCCGCGGCTGCGCGGATCGATACAGAGTACAGTCACTATCGAAATTGTACACGGGATGTTCCGATCTTGTCTATTATCTCTGTTAATAGATTGATACAGTAATTTTTAGTAAATTGGTTTTTATTTAATTTATTGTCCTTATTTATTGAGTGTTTATGAGTAATTTCAAAATACTCTGTTTGTTATAATTAAAAGGTTTGTTTATTTGGTTGAACGCTATTATCTCCGAAAGTAGTGGTTGGAATTAAATCAATAGATTTGTGTTAGATAGCTCGTTCTTTGACGGGTGAGAATAGGTAGTATCTATAACGTCTGTAGCCATTATTAGTAACATCCAGCAAAGGAATAAACCAAAATATGTGAATCACGATTACCATGTTGATGTGGACATAAAGTAGTTTCATATATAATTAAAACTGAGTGTAATTCTTTTTTGTTTTGGTTTAATGACGTTTCAATTCATGTTGGCTCAAAGGTTTAATATTTAGACGCCGTTAGAAAACTAAATTAGTTATTATATTTTTCAGCTTGCTTATATAAATATTTGACGAGGAACTAGATTAGTTTCAAGCCAGAATTCCGCGATCCGCGAGGCGGTGTCTGTCGCGTTACTACTATTTTTTTACGGGGACAATCATCCAATGACTTCTCGACCCGGATGAGGTGGGAGGGGAGTGTCAGACTCTTACTGACTAAAAACCACCCCGCACCTACTCCTGCACTTCGAGCCGGAGTCCGGCAACCCGTTAAGTCCTCCGCGGCTCCTTATCGGCATCAGCCCTATTGGGTCCCATCTGTGCTGAGTCGCATCTGTGTTGGGCTACTTTGGTAAGTATGCGGTGCGGGCTGAGCCAACGCGCCCTATGCCGTGATTCACGCGCACTTTCCTCTATTTGTGGTATCGACGACGGCGGCGCGTTCGAGACTGTTGGCACGTTAAAGTTTAGGCGCCGTGGTGTTGGGTTCGAATCCCGGGTCGACGCAAAATCAGTGTCACATCATCATCATCTGTATCACACTCCAGACCCGCAGCACTATAATTTGACGCAAATTTTAGAATCGGTATCCAGACAGGTGGTAATGCCCAGCCACCGTCTCTGTTTAGAACAGTTTGGACGACGCGACGGCTTATTCCGATAGCCTCGCGGCTCATGTACTTTTCGCGGTACGAAGTATTTCTCAACAATCATCACACTACAGTTTCTTTCAAAATTTGCTAGAAAATTACGAAAATAAGTCGACGATCATGAAATCAACAAATGAAAGTATGATATTTTTATTCGACACAATTCACAAATATGGAAGGAGTAAGGAAAAACATATATAACTACATAATTATTTATAACTTAAAATTAACTACAACTAAACGATTAAATAAAACGAAAGTAAAAAAAGATAACAACAAAAATTGTACTCTTAATTTAGGTGTCAAAGTATTCATCCGCATCACTATCACAGGGGAACGTTCCCAGAAGACTGGCAGCATTATCACGTTGAATGGCAATGCTTATTTTCTGTCCGAAGAAATAGGCAGCCCTCTGGTCACGTGAAGAGTTGATTAGCCTACGGGCGATATCCTTAAAAACAGAGTGTGCACTGGGACCCCATGGCCCAAGTGTTTCGACCCCAAACGGCTCAAAACGGTAGTTATCCACTAGATTTGAATATTTACGCCGTTTAAGGGCCTCTGCCGCGGCTGCACCAACGGCTGCACCAACGCATGCAGCGGTACTTAGAAGATGTGATGGCGCAAGAGTGTCTACACACGTCGCGTCCCACACCAAAGGTCTCCCCATCTTCCAAGGCAGCAACGACACACTATCTGGTCTTTTGCCGTCATCACGTACCAAACCATTAGGTTCTCATACGGCTGGTACACCGGCTGAGGCAAGAGCACGATGAATCATGTCGTTAATGCTGGTATGGCGAGCTATACGTTATTCTAATAAGTTATTCTTGGCTACCTGATTTAAGAACTCCGTACAACGCAGTTATGATCCTCCACAAAATGTTATTTAAAAAGATAAAGACCTACTGTTCACACTAAAACGTTAGTTGGATTTAACGTTGCAGCTTCGTGGACAGTTTTGAGATAAAAACAAGATTGTAGGCTGTTTTAATGGGACATGTTGGCCACAGCCTACCAAAACCGCTGCATTTCCTGTAAGCTAGGATCTGCAGTAGATACAACCATAAAATTACAGGAACACTTAAGTCCGGCGCGTCTCAAAGACATGAGTCTTGGGCATGGTCTTGGTTTCCGCAACAAGCAAACGAAAAAAAATTACAGATTCTACTTGTCGGTTTCATAACATTACATCACGTCTTTAATCCCCGAAGGGGTGGGCATAGGTGCACATTACAGCATTTACGGTCTAAAATTATTCACGACCAAAATGTATGAAACAGCCTGTATATTACAATTTTTTAAACCGGGCACAATTCCAAATTCCGTGCCACTACTGAGAATTTTTTTTTATATCCAGTAATACTTCGCCCGACCTGGGAATCGACACGAGACCCCTTGCCCGGCAGTTGCACTTGCGACCACTCGGACAACGAGGAAGTGTACCTTTTGACATTTGTAGGTTGCAAATGATGCGTCATGTATAATAACTTCTTCCTTTTTGGGTGAGGCAAGAAAGAGTGTCAGACACTTACTTACTTTGAGCCGAAGCCGAACATTGCATACATTTGTCTTCGCCTGTACCTAATCGTCGCACGCATGCAGCGTCGGGCAATAAGGCATGTTTTAGTGGAAGGCGCGGTGCGTCGTCAAGCTTCTTTAGCATGCCGTTTTCATCTATGTACCATAGGTGCTGAGGTTTATTTTAAATTGATTTATTTTCAATATCTTCGCCGCGCCTTTGCCAGTGTGCGCTGGGCCTGTAAGAGACAACATCATACAATGCATCTTCCGTCTCGCTTTCGATATTGTGAGGAGGCAACTTCAGATCAAATCAATGAAATTACAATTTATGATGGCTACCTATTTGTAATCATATCTCAATTTCTGAATGTTTTGTAGGTGGACTTGGAATAAAATAACCAATTTGGTTGGTAACTTAAAAACTAAATTGTCGAGTGGTCACAAGTGCTATTGCTGAGTAAGTGAGCTTTAGGTTTGATTACCGGATCAAATTTTTATTGGGACTATTACTAATTATTTTCAAAATTAGCAGAATAAGCGTCACGTGGGGCGTATTGGACCTCAATTTCGTAATTCTGGAGGACTTAATATAAACATCTTATTATTTTTTAAACCTTTTATGTATCTAACGAGATTTTGAGAACTGACAAGAAAAACTAGTTAATTAATAAAACAGCAAGTACCGATGTGACTTTATTCGAGTTATATGTACTTTCTAAGATGATTTAGACATCAAGACAAATGAAGCAATTTTGAACCGTATTGTTACTTGCGATGAAAAATGGACCCTGTTAGATAAGTTCGGCACCTAAACAATGCTCTAAACGAAAACATATCCCTAGAAAAGCGCGGGAAAAATTGAATACTCGACAGGCATTAAAAATGCCTCTAGAGAATTTGTTGCCTCCTGTCCAGCTGTTTTTTTCAAGAAGGGCATCAATAAATTGCCACTGCGTCGGCAAAAATGCATTTATTGCATTGGTGATTACTTCGATTAATACAAATAAAAATACATGAAAAAATTCATAATAATGGCAATTTCATAGGCAAAAACCAATTATTTATATGTCAGGAGGAATTGTTTGACCTGATACCTGCCGCATCTTTTCGCCATCGACCCTCACGACAGCATATGCATCCCCATCATATAGATGGTTGGCAGGCCACAACTGTGCGGTTCTCACGTAGCTTCCTGCCTCGCACAGCAAAACTGTGGAATGATCTGTCGTCGGCGGTATTTCCGAACCGATACGACCTTCAAACCTTCAAGAGAAGAGCGTACTCCTTTTTAAAGGGCCGGCAACGCACCTGTGACTCTTCTGGTGTTGCGGGTGTCCATGGGCGGCGCTGATTGCTTACCATCAGGTGATCCGTCTGCTCGTTTGCCTCCTATTCCATAAAAAAAAAAAAAAAAAAATGTCACATTACAGTTAATACCTGCTCCAGCCTGGGTGAGGCGGGAGGGAGTGTTATACTCTTATAAAAACCACCGCGTTCCTTCTGCGGTTCGAGCCGGAGCCCCTGTAACCTGTTAGGTTCTCCGCGACAATACAAATACAATAAGCACTTAACAACTTATGATTCCTACTATACAAACATGCGAGAGTATAATACGCTCGAAACACTTTCATCAATGGACCCTGGGCTAACCATAGGTACTTGTCTGAGCACTTCTTACAACTGTTTAAATGTGACATTACGAAGCAATTATGAAGTATTACATACATATATGTATGTTAAATAATTTACTACGAAGTAGACATCGGATTATATGCATCTGCATTTTGATAGCGTTATTGCATATATTCGTACATTTTCATTGATAGTGCTTATTTCAATAGTTAATACGTATTTAGCATGTTTTGTTATGCAGTCGACGCGTCCATTGATGCACCTCCAGAGCCCATTTACATGGTGGGGTACTTGGTTGAATGCCGTTTTATATTGTGCTGAAAATTTCGAAGGTATAAAAGAAGTTGTCGTAAAATTTAACAGTTCAGACGCCGCATTCAATTCAAGTCAGTTAGCATTCTAAGACCCTGTAGAAAAAAAATATATTGCTATTATTTCTACCCACTTTAGCATTATACCGGCTGCTATTGAAAAACTAGAATCTAAAAACTCTCCTCTGTGCTAGTCCTTAGAAATAGTAGAAAAAAATATTGGAAAGAATAACGATCTGCTGACTTCAATATCGCCAAAGGATGGTGGCAAACTTAATACAGTTTTTTGTATAAATCCCGGATTTGACAGCATTAAGGAAATCGACTCGTTTATAAACGTTACCGGACAAACTCTGCCTGAAGAGATATCTCTAGAAATGGCTACAAATTTTAAGTATTGTCCGGT